TAATAGGGCATTATGTAAAATTGTGGATGTGTAACCGACGTGATTCTGCAATCTGCATTTGGGGTAAAAATTGGGAGTTCATAACCCACTTCAATCTAATATATGAAATATGATATGTCAAGAGCTTTGTAATGTTGTGAACAACCAATAAAAAAAATAAAATAAAATAAAAAGATTTTCAACAGTATTTATATGACATCTATAATTTTAAAGCTTATTTTACAGTAAACTGAAATAAAAAGAAATGTGCAAAATTGTCAGCATTAATTGTTGCACACTGCATTTTTTAAAATATTATTTTTAGTAATGAACACAACATTTTTAAAAATATTTTTTTAAGTTGTTGATGGGCCTTTATTTTATGTGGTGCTGAGAATTAAACCCAGTGCTTCACAAATGCTAGGCAAGCGCGCTACCACTGAGCCACCACCCCAGCCCACACCATTTTTATTTATTTATTTATTTTTATGTGATGCTGAGGATCAAACCCAGTTTCTCATACGTGTGAGGCAAGCACTCCACCACTGAGCCACAACCCCAGCCCTGCACACTGCATTTTAATGAAATATTTTCCTATAAAGTAATTGTGTTGAGAAGTATAAGCCCTGTTTTGGTGGGGATTGGATGGACTCTATTCTTAAAAAAAATAAAGCATTTTGACTCTGTTTAAAACACATGCATATGAATATACATGTATATGAAAATACATTACACCTTAGATTCTGATCCCTTCTAGTCCCTCTTGCCCCACAAAGTCGAAAATACCAGTTTCTTACCTTTTTCCCATTGATCTGACTTATATTTAGCTCTTCCAGTGATTGAAGTTGGCACAATTCGATAGGAAAATATACAAACTGATTGCTTGAGAAGTTTAATTTCTGGATTCTTTTTAAATTACATATCTCTGAAGGTATTGTCTGTAAATGGTTTTCTGAAAGATCAAGTACTTCCAAATTTTTTAAAGTACACAGTTCTCTGGGGAAAGTTTCAAAGGTATTAGAGCATAAAATAAGTATGTGGAGTGATACCATATTGGAAATAGATGATGGAATTTTCCCTATTTGGTTTTTACCAAGATCCAGGTAATTGAGATTAATAAGAGAACATAAGTACTCAGAAAATGTGAGGAGTTTGTTTTCATTAAATTCCAAATGACGCAGTTGTTTACTGAAAGATATATCCATGGGTATTTCTGAAATAGAATTTCCATTACAACTCAAATAATAAAGTAACTCCAGTGCACAGAGTCCTGCTGGAAAATATGTTATTTTGTTATAACTCAATTCAACCTTAGTAATTTTTTTACAGTTTTTTACTTCAATGGGAACATGTGTGATTATATTTCTTGAAAATTCCAGGCTATGTAAATTATTAAGATGAAAGATACCTTCAGTTATTTTTACTATATTATTTCTGTTTACATGGAGTATTTTTAAATATTTAAGCTTATGGATGTTCTTAGGAAGTTCTGTTAATTGATTATCATTAAGACTAAGGCATTCCAACAACACACAGCAGGAAATTTCCTCTGGCACATTTTTCAGTAAATTGTTATCAAGTACAAGAATCCTCAGTTCCCTGAAGTTCTCAATTTTGTGTGAAATATCTTCCAATTTATTGTCAGCCAGTTGGAGTTCTTTTATTTTGCGTAATTGAAAAATTTCCACTGCCAAAAAGGTAAGTTTATTGTGAGCTAATAAAAGTTTTTCTAAATTTTTAAGTTCCCTAATTTCTTTTGGCAAACTGCCTATTAGGTTTCCAGTAAGATTTAGTGAAATTAATTTTGGAAGAAAACATAGAGCTTTAGGAAATATTGTTAATTTATTATATTCCAGATTGAGCACCCTCATGTTTTGCAAACTAGGCAGAGTGTCTGGTATATGTCTTAACTTATTTTTACCCAAATTTAAAATTTCTAAGTTTTTAAGATTTTCTAAACCAGAAGAAGGAAAATTATCAATGTAATTGTTATTTAAAAGGAGTTGCCTTAAATTCCCAAGTTGTGAAATTTCTTTAGGTATTTGTGATATTTGATTATGACTGACGTTTAATATTCTTAAATTATAAAGTAGCTGAATTTCAGGTGGGAGTGATGACAACGCATTTTCTTGCATGGACAGAATTTCAAGGCCTAGCATGTCACCTGAGCCTGCCACTTGAAAAGTTTTTATTTGGTTTTTGTCTAAGTACAGATATTTTACATATTTGATTTTTAAAATGTTCTTAGGGAATTCTTGTAAACCCTTGGCCTCAAGGTTAAGCGTAAAGTCATCTGACTTAAGGTCAGATGACTGATTTTCTTCAGGGATTTGTGAACTAATTTTTTCTGCTTTTTCACGAGATTGGAAGTGAACAAAAACCTGATAGTCGGAAATTGTCTCAGTTACGGGTTGTGATGAACTTTGTGAAGGTGCTGGTTTTGACAGTAGGCCGGCATCACTAATTCTTGTTTGAGAAAATTCCAAATTTTTTTGTTCTTCATTTCTGTTAGTCTTGCTTTCAGAGGAAGAACCTGACTGTAATGTATTTTCTATAGGATATGTTTCATAAATCTGGTTGAAAGGTTTCCAGTAGTAAGAGGCTTCATTTAACTCATCTGATGTTTTGTTAATAAATTGAGGCTCCTCAGCTGACTGCCTTGATGGATTAAAGATATCTTCTACTTCTGCTGAAGTGTCCTCCTCTTCAGACATCTTATTGCTGGTATGTTTTGTACCAATTCAAGATTATAACTATAATTTTCAGATCTTTTTCTTTGAACCTACAAAACAAGTGTTGATATTAAAATAAGAGGTATAATAAATGTCAAAATTACAAATGAATTGTAACACAACTATTTCATTTCACAGGAATAATTTAATAAATATAAAATACATTCATAACAAACTATTTTATATATGATTCCTGGTTAAAGACAGTTTATTGATTGTATAAGTTTTATCACATATTACTTTTTTTTTTTTTTTTTTTTTGTACCAAGGATTGAACCCAGAGTTGGTGAATCACTGAGCTACATCCCTGGCCCTTTTTATTTTTTTATTTTGAGACAGGGTGTTGCTTAGTTGCTTAGACCCTCACTAAGTTGGTGAGGCTGGCCTTGAACTTGTGATCCTCCCTAGCTATCATGTTACTCTTGAAATCACATTAAAATTATAGAAAAAGAATGAAAAAGATCAAAGAAAATAACAAGGAGACATAAAGCACTGAGAGAATTTAGCACATTTTTGAAAGAAAAGGGAGGGCCTGTGGTTTTAGCTCAGTGGTAGAGTGCCTGCCTCACATGTGTGAGGAACTGGGTTTGATCCTAAGCATAAATAAATAAAGATATCTATCTACAACTAAAAAAATATTAAGAAAGAAAGAAAAGGGATACCCAGTGGCCTACTGTGTTGCATGTAGAAACTACCATTCACATGGTGAACATGAGGTTTACATGTGGTACTAACAAATTCAAATGTTATGGCAATTTTCCAATGGGTGGAAGTAAAACGTCTTAAAGAAGAGGATGTTTTTTGTAGGAACCACTTTATGCCTTGGCATGGTAGTTACTTCCTATATTTATAATTTTTGCAGTAACAGAACTATTAGTATGACTATTTACCTTCTCAGTTCTCACGTATTCTTGTAAGCAACTCTCTATATTAAATCCTATCTATTAAACTGGTATGGTTTTAATATTTCAAAAAGTCTCCCAGAGCGCAGGGGTTGTGGCTCCGTGGTAGAATGCTTACCTAGCATGCACGAGGCACTGGGTTCAATGCTCAGCATCATATAAAAATAAAATAAAGATATTATGTCTACCTAAACTAAAAAATAAATACATATATATATTTTAATGTCTCCCAGAGAATACAAAAAGGGAATTTTTTTCCAGTTTTTTTTAATGAGGTGGTAGTAATCTTGGTATCAGCACCTAAAAAGGACGATATGAAAAAGGCAATTTTATTCAAGCACAAAAATGCAAAAATTCTAATCATTAAAAACTGTTCTACATATTACAAATCTAGTAATATATAAAAAGATTGATATTTTATGACTAACTTGAATTTTTCCCAGAAATGCAAGATTGCATTTTAACATTAGAAAATGAATGTAATTTGCCACATTAAGAGATTAAAGGAGAAACTGTGGGTGTAGCTCAGTGGCAGAGCATGTGCTTATTAACATGCATGAAGCCTTGGGTTCAATACCACATCAAAACAAACAAAAAATAAAT